TTCCTTCCTTCCTTCCTTCCTTCCTTCCTTCCTTCCTTCCTTCCCCCCGCTTCTTTGCTTGCCTTCCTCTGCTCCTCCCTCCCTCCCTCCCTCCCCTTTGTTTTCCTTCCTTCCTTCCTCCCTTCCTTCCCTCCTCTCTTGACTATGCAGCTCCAGATATTTTTTATAACCTCTTTTGTTTAAATCAGGTTGACAAACAGAACTGCCCTTCTTTAAAATAAATACGCATATGGAATATACCATTTATAAGAAGTCTTCGACTTTCTCAGATGAAGGAGTGATTGTTTTTGTTTGTTGAATTCTTTCCTTGTTTTGCTAGATGCCCAAAGGAATATCTACGTTCCCTGTTTGGGTTTGCTGATCTAATTTTTTAAACCAACACTTTTCACTTTTTGTAGATCTCAGATGCCGTGTACAGGATGGTATACGACCAGGCAAGAGCCTATTATGATTCGTTAGTGACAAAATGTGAGCTTCAGATTCCTGGAATGCAGAGCACCATCCGGACAGATATGGATCAGATCATCCAATCCAAGGAGCATCTGGCCAACAAAATCCGAGGTGGGGTCACGGGATATCATTTCAAAAAGCAGTTTCCTATATCTCGTCCTCCCTTGCTTTGTTGTCTGGTGCTACAACGTAAGGGGAGGCCTGATGGATAAAAGCAAAACTCCAGACAACTTTGAACCTCATATTCAGAGCCAGATTGCCTCTGATTCTGGAGACAATACCTGGGCACAATGTGTAACATCTTGGGATGGAGGTGAAATTTGTTGGGGTGGTGCTAAAAGAGGCACTTTTTGGCACAGGGCAATGTTGTCTACATCTCAAAGTACAAAGAGAAGTTTGTGAAAGTTTGAATATATAAGGGGAAAAGACGCGTGAACGTGCATTATAGTAGAGAAGAGCTGTTTCTTAGCCTGCTCTAGGGGGAACATATTCAAGAAAGGATTTATGAATGATCTATCCTAGTTTCTGATGAAACAAACTTGTGGTTGGGAAAATGAGAACGGGAGTGAAACAAAAGGATTAAGACAGCCATTCCAAATCTGTAGATGTTGCTCAGCCTTATGCTCCATGAATTTGTTACATTACTAGCACCCGTTGGCTCACCTCGTGGCAGTGAATTCTTTCTGCTAATTGTACATTTTCTTCCATCTGATATCCACATCCAGTTGGCTCCCTTGGATAACTCTGGCTAGTGTTATGATAAGAGGTGGAGAAATCAATCTGTTTCCTTCACAAGATGCATAAGATAAAATGTTTGTGTAATCCCATTATTACTGCTCTACTTTTAATTCTGATCAGCCTGGGAATGCTTTGTCTTCCTTGAATGCCTGGAAGAATTGAGCCATACAACAATCAGGCTTTCATTAGAAGTGTGGAGAGCCTGTGGTCTTCAAGATGTTGCTGAACTACGGCTCCCAAAGTCCCCTGTCATTGTCCAATCAGGCTGGGTCTATTGGGAGTTGCTTCCTGAAGGTCTTGAGTATGGTTAGATATTCAAGAGCATCTGGAAAGCTACAGGTTCCCCATTTCTATTTTCCTGGTTGGAGATCCACCACTGTTTCATTTCTCTTGGGCAGTCTAGACGGGGGCTGCTGCATGGTGGGCCTTGCATTCATTCTACTGTTGTTCCCCTCCAGCCACTGTCCTCTCTAAAGCTGAGGTCTGTGTCCGGAATCACGTCCAACCATACATCAGTTCCATCCTGGAAGCCCTGATGATCCCCACCAGCCAAGGCTTTGCTGAAGTGCGGGAAGTGTTTTTCAAGGAAGTCACTGACATGAATATGAACATTGTCAATGAAGGAGGGATGGAGAAGCTGGGAGAGGTAAGACAAATGCTGATGGCAACAAGGGCAACCCAGTTGTTAAGCAGATTGGGTGGCAGAAGATGAGAGGGGGCAACAAGGTGTTGGAGGGAGAGCTGATCAGAATTGGACTAGAGTTCTCCCTCCCTCTATTTTTGCTTCCTGAAGGTCTCAAGTTCAGTGATTTCTGTGGAGGAATCCTTAAATGGACTGTGTTGCCTTCGCAGGAGAGATGTTGAAGTCCATCTTTTGGTTTTCAACATGCTGACATGTTGGAGCTTCTAATCCTTCTTTTCCCCCCCACCCAGTACATGGAAAAACTTTCCCAGCTAGCTTTCCATCCGGTCAAGATGCAGTCCTGCTACGAGAAGATGGACCAGTTGAAGCTGGAAGGTCTGCAGCAGAGGTTTGATGTCTCCAGTGCCTCTGTGTTCAAGCAGCGTGCCCAAATCCTGATGAGGCAGGTAAGCGGTGCTCCAAGAAAGAGCTCACCTAAATATATTTGCTCCTACAACTTATTGCCAGCTCATAAGCATTGCTTATGTCCTGCATCTAAAGACAGATATACTGATCGAGCAGCCGTGGGTTGACCTACTGTCCGTGAACATGCCCATACACCTTTTAAAGCTGCCCATATTATGGGAGGGAGTTTAGTTAGCTATCCTAAGCACTAACTAGCTCTTTCTTTGGTTCATCCTCAGCATATTATTGTCTGTTTCCATGAATTCTGTTTTGCTCACCAGAGCTGGGGCTGGGTGCTTCCCAGTTAGGAAGACAACCAGAGCCCTCTAGTGGCCAGGAAAGGTTACCGATATTCCCTCTTTCTTCTTGCGCTGCGTTGGCTTCTACAAGTCTTTTTTCCTGGATGGAAGAGCTCGGACACATTGTACCGAAGCACTAAGAGGACCGAGGAGGCCGATGCACCGTTGTTTCAGATCTTTAGGTTCTTGCTGCCCTCGGCAGTGGAAATGGGCCCACTTCATCTACGGAAACTTCCAAAACTTCTGAAATTCAGCAGGATGAGATAGCAGAGAATTCCAGGGGCCATCTTCAGAGCACAGGTTGCCTTCTCTAGCCTACAGCAGGGACAGGCCCTTGTGGCCCTCAAGATACTTCCAGGATTAACCCCACATTGGCCAGGCTGGTTGGAGAGGCTACTGAGAGTTGGCAATCTGACCAGAAGAACGTCAGAACCATCTCCTGGATCAGGTCACAGGCCCATCTGGGCCAACATTCTGGATCATCCATTGGCCAACTTGGGAAGCTTGCAAGCCAACGTAGGCAACTCACAAGCTGGTGGACAAAACTCCCCTTGCACTGTTGCTACCCAGCATCCAGTATTTAATCCCTGCGGTTGCCTAGGATTCGGGGGTGATCTACAGCCTTCAATATTAGTAGCCATTGTTAGCCTGATCCTCTAGGACCTTCCCAGTTTCTTTTCAGGCCATCTAAATTAGCTGCTATTACCATAATTGCCGGCAGTAAATTCCACCGTTGAACTAAGTGCTGTGTAGGAAAGTATTTTTGCTCTCCTGTCCTTTAGTTTCAAGGAATGACCTTGAGTTCTAGCATTGTGAGAGTGGAAGAAGAGCTCTTTTTCTCTACGTTATCCATGCCACGCATGCTTTCAAAGACTTCTGTTGTGTTCCCTGCTTACCCTCTTACTTCAAGCTAAAGAGCTTTACGGCCGTCTTTTTTTCATAGAATTGCTATTCCAGCTTCCTAATTATTATTTTTTTTGAAGGACAAGGGTTTCCCATCTCTGACCTGGAGACTGCCTCTGTGTAATTATTCCAGATGTTCTGAGCATAATTGGTTTAGTCATCAGGCAGTGACATCCACAGAAAACCAAAATAATGTCATCATGCAAATCCTGTCATTATATACTTACATCCCAACCGTCTGATGCAAGTCACTAAGCAGCAGCATTTGTGTAATGATCCCCTACCTCCCACCCATGTTAGCTGGCTGCTTCTTGTACCTTCTTGTGAGTCTTCAAACACTGTGGCTTCTTCTCCCTTTCTCATCTCTTCCTTTTTTGATGCTGTAGCAAATGGATGACACCGTCTACACTTTTGAGACCCTTCTCCATCAGGAGCTGGGGAAGTCGTTGAGCAAAGATGAACTCTGCAAGACAATTCAGCGCATCCTGGAGCGGGTGCTCAAGGTAAGGTCGCCACCCCATCTCTGGTGTTGCATTGGTTGATGTGCTTCCTGGAAGCAGTGGACCCTGTATGAAATACCATCTCCCTTTCTTCCTATTTATAGTTATACATGGTTCGGTGGCAATTTCTGGAGGCCACCTCCAAAGCTTTTGAAGGACTCATAGGGTATAGCTTTGGCATCCTCACCTTAGATAATCTGTCTAATCTTTTGTTTCTGAGTGCAAACAGGCCATACCCCTCTCCTGGGGTGATTCTTGTTTTCACTTTCCCCTTCTCCTGCAAATGCATATTAAGGCTGGAAGAGCAACAAACCCCAGAGATTCTAGTCTGGGACAAAACACTATGTATTCAGCAAGTGCCAGCTTGAGAAAGCCCTGAGGAAGAGGACAGCTATTTTATTAGCAAAGCTCCCATGAGTATGATCAGCTTCAGAATCATCATTTATGGTTCTGACCCTCTTTTTCCCCAGAAATACGATTATGACAGCAGCACGGTGAGGAAGAAATTTTTTCGGGAGGCTCTGCTGCAGGTCACAGTCCCTTTCCTGCTGAAGAAGCTGGCTCCAACTTGCAAAGGGGTAAGAGTGAATCTTCGAGGTTATGCATGGGTTCACAGCAGAACCAACTTTTCCCATCATGGTGTGGAAAAGTTGCTTGTAGGTCACTGATAGTGGTGGCAGTTCACACACCCAGGACAGATTAAAAGCAGATGTAGATGCAGAAACGTAGGAAGGAAAAATAGCTTCCATTAATGGGGGAACAGAAATGCCAAGCAAACAGTATGTCCCTTTCTGTAGCAATGTCCTAATGGCCACCCCAAAATTGCTAGCTCTGTAGCTGGTTTGTGTTTATCAGCAAAAGATGCAGGCAAATTTTCCCTCTAAAGCCCAGCCTAAAGTGATAATACATAGTACATGATTATCACAAAGGGCTCCTTAAAACTGGGGAAGCCTGCTGGATTCCTATGGATGCTAACATACCCATAGAATCTCCCTTCTAGGCTTCTTATTTCACCTAACTTTTCTTTAAAAACAAAAGAGAGAGATGCTTTTAATTAAAATAAAATTACATGGCAGGTTGGCTTGCTTCAAAGCAAAGCACCAGTGTTGGGCATTTATTTTTATTTCCAAGAAAGACTCTGTGCCCCATTTTGACTTCAGGGAAGAAGATGTTTTTCTCCCTGATCACACCTGCTCTTTTGTAAATAGTCTGCTCTCCCTTGGGGCAGCCATTCTGCGAGGACACCTTGATCTGCTCTCCATGCAATGGAGAGCAGAAGGGTTGCCATGTAAAATAATGTGGGCCAAAGATTTGACCTCTCTGCAGCAAGAGCAAATGTTATAGATTGTATCATTGTGAATGTTATGTCCATGGTAACTTCTCAACAGTGTGCTTTTTTCTCATTAGGACCTCTCAAGATTCCAGGAGCTGATTTTTGAGGATTTTGCCCAGTTCATCCTGGTGGAAAACACATATGAAGAGGTGGTCCTGCAGTCTGTCATGAAAGATATCATGATGGGTAAGAGACTCTGTTTCTATTTGGACTGAGTAGGATCGTAACCGATAGGAAAAGTCCTGTCTGCAAGGAGAAGACTTCAGTTTGGATTCACAAATTGCACATCCCAGTGTAGCAGGAGACATCTTTGTAAACCAACATCTCCAGTCTGACACCCTCCATAGATGTTGGATTTTGATTGCTATTATTCTAGGCGGAAGGAAGGAAAGCAGAGAAATGAAGGAAGGCAAGCAAAGTGGAGGAAGGGAGGGAGGGAGGAAGGAAGGAAGGCAAGCAAAGTGGAGGAAGGGAGGAAGGAAGGAAGGAAGGAAGGAAAGCAGAGGAATGAAGGAAGGCAAGCAAAGTGGAGGAAGGAAGGAAGGAAGGAAGGAAGGAAGGAAGGAAAGCAGAGAAATGAAGGAAGGCAAGCAAAGTGGAGGAAGGGAGGGAGGGAGGAAGGAAGGAAGGAAGGAAAGCAGAGAAATGAAGGAAGGCAAGCAAAGAGGAGGAGGGGAGGGAGG